CCCTTGTCCTGCTCTTATCTACTCCTTCCAAGAGTTGACCTTCCTTGAGTATGACCCAATACTGTGCTTTCTTGTTTTGGTAAATAGGAATAGCCCAGAAAGCTAGAAGTTTGCCCTGAGTCTTTGCCTCACTTATGCAACATAGTTCTATCTAAAGGTAAATTAATCACAGTATGGTAAATAGTTTTTGAGTGGATGTGCTCTGAAGATTATCCTATTTTACATGCAGAGAGAGAGAGTGAGAGTGAGTGAGTTCTCCGTGTTGGAGGTTAGAGAGCTGGGTGGTGTTACACAAACTTGCATGAAAGCCAGGAATCTGTTCTGGCCTGCATAACATGAAGAACTTCATAAATGTGGGATGGTTAAAATGTTCTGGATGCTGTATTGCACAAAGCAAATGCATAAACAAGAACATTAGAAAATATTTTGGGATTAGAAGATTAAGAGTAATTGGCAAAGGCAGACTGGATGGCTCAGGAGATTGGTAAGGGATCTTGAGCCTTTCACCTCCTCATTAACCAAAGAGGTAAGCCAGGTAATCAAAAAAGATGCTTTGCTATCATTTGCTGTTCCAGTGCAGATGGTTGCTGTAGTTTCAGATAATTTGCAGCAGATAGCAGGGGCCAGAGACAGCTTTTCCTGTGCAAGTAAGTCCTATGGTTGAATCTCCCGTGTGGATATAAGCTGCTGCTTTCCTAGTTTCTCCTGGTGGTATTTTCTTCATGAAGCATGTTTACAGGAGCTGGCCAGTGTTGTCTTGGTATTTTTTATGTTATTTTCTACAGTTTTCTATTGTAAACAGAAAAATATTTTTAAACTCCCTTGATATAGTAAAATTCAGGACTGAACCCAAAAAGGAGGTGGGAAAAGAGAGAGGGTAGCATTTGGATCAAGGTCAGATCAAATACGAAGCAACATTTTTAAAAAGGGCAAAAGTGAAAATACTTTTCTGTGCCCAAAGACATCAATTCCATTAAATCATTGTTTTTGGTCTGTATAATTAAGGTAATACAGACATATCTGTTGGAAACATATAGTGCAATTATACTGTTGTTGAAGTACTTGCCAACACGTTGTAGAAAATATGTTTTGAAATATTGTCAATTATTATGTTATCTTTTCTTTCTGGCTTTTTTTAGAAATATGCGTGGTGTTGAGGAGGTAGCTTAATTGCATGAACACACAAGCTTCAATCCTTGCAGTAAATCTAATCTCAAACTTTTGAAATTTTACAGTTTTCCACATTAATAGATGAATTGAACAATTAAGAGTTTTGAGTTTCAGGGAGTGCTTTTGTGAAATATATTTCAGTTTAATTCCTAACTGGGACACGACCTTGAAGATCAATTTTGGAATAGTATCAGTGCAGCCATCTCAAATGCAATAATGGAAAACCTATCTTAAATAGCCCCTTTAGTCTGTGTGATATAATAATGCCGTCTGTATTCCCATAATTGGGGTGCTACAGGGTAAAGGATAATCTCAAGATCTCACAAGAAAGTGACAGTGAAGGAAAGAACTAACCAGGCATCCCCTGCCCTTATAGATACGTTGTGTATTAGATTCCCTCTAAAATCCGAATTATGACTTAGCTGTGTTTACTGAAGAAATTGTTGACTTGGAGGTGGTCTTACATTTCCAGCACAAGTTCTACCTGCGTTTGTGGCTCTTAAAACTATGTGAGCTGGCACTTTGGGATTGCGGAGTTTTGGTATTGCTTTTGTTTGGCTTCTTCTGCTTTATTTTGGGGAGAAGTGTCCAGTGAAAAAAACAGAATTGTGAGGGCAAAGCAGGTGACTAGGTTTTGCTGGAATCAGAATAAAATATGTGAGTAAATACTAGGTGTAATCACTTCTGATATCACATACAAATGTGAATATTGAATTATAAACTAAACATACATACTTCATTTCCCCCTTTGTCTTTCTCTCTCTTTCATTTTTCCTCTTTCTGGGTAAGACCAGAGGAAGCAGGAGGGTTGGACTTGATGATCTCTGGAGGTCCATTCCAACCCCTACGATTCTGTGATTCTGTGAGTTTGGTGTTCTAAGGAGTTTGGTGCCCTTACTCACGTAACTGAAAAGTCTGAAAGCCAAGCCAAGACTTGAGCAGAATGCATGAATCCACAGTTTGGCAAAAGTGTAGGCTTCATCCAGATTCGGCTGGCTAAAAGCTGGAACAGCTTCAGTTCATACCATCACTATCAAGTGCTTCTTCCAACTCGTTGTGTGGGAGCCAGATTCTTTTCATCTTTTTACCTGATGGTCCCCAGGAAAGCTTTAAGTAGGTTTTGTTATTCATGAAAAACGTATTTTGAATGTAATAACATTAATGACCCTGTGTTGCCTTTCACGTACATGCTCTTCTCCTACGACACATTATTTTGAATTGTGGCAGAGTAGTCACAGAAATGCCAGCCCAGTAGCGGGTAATCAGTTACATTCTACTGCTGTGAAAAATGTGTTGTTCCCCTCTGCTGTTGCAGTAGCTAAACCTGAATAGTATGTGAGTACTTTGTTCAGTTTTATCCTCTTCTGGTGAAGAGAAGGATGTATTAGCAAAGGACACAAATCTCCTATGTCAGCCACTAAGAAGGATTACCAGAAGCTACAAGAATGCCATGATTTACAGTCCATTGTACAAAATGCTGCACTGATAATTATTTTTCTAGCATTCATAAATAAAAGTAATTAGCAATGAGCAGCAGCAGGGATTATTGTCACTCACGATTTGCAGTTAATGTCTACTGAGTGTCTGTAAAATACATTTGCTATCTGTAGGCTCTATGAATGGACAACTAAGAGTAATGAATGTATTTTCTCATTAGAACCACTTAAGGTAAAGCATTTTAGCCAGTTTTCTATGCGTGCATCAAACAAACGTATGTATAACTAATTAAATGAGCAAAACCAGATCACCTTGCAACTAAAGCAGTTACTCAGAGAACTGCTGTTATTTTCTGTTTGCCGTGCATGCTTTAAATTGTCTTTCAACAGCATTGAGACTTTGAACGTTGAAACAGTGTGGTGGATAGAGACCTCAAGTGCCAGAGTAGTATGGAGCAAGCCCAAATTCCACTGTTGTCAGCAGTTCAGGCTCAGTATGGTTTTGTCTCTAGTTCTTTTTAGGTATAAAATGAATAAAACAAGGTAACTTGTGCAGTGCAAATGTTCCACGGAACATTTTCAAAATCAAATTCATGACTTGTTATCAGAAGTTGAAGTCCTAGTTCAAGTAAAAATATTATTGCAGTCACATTCTAGCTATTGGGCTCTCCAGCTCTCCATTGCCTATTAAGATATGTTTCCTAAACAAACAGAAAGCAATTTTCGGTTTATCTAAGAAAAAGCCTTGACCAACATATGGGAATTGTGCTTTCTTTATTAAAAAAAAGTGAATCAGAGGCTGCATAGCAGCTTATTATGCACAGTTTAGCAGCTGACTGACTCACTATTTTGGTGTTCAGTTCTGATGGGACACAAAGAATAGCGTCTTATTTTCTGAGCTAAATGGCTAAAAGGCATTTATAGTACATGCGTTTAAAAATGTTTACATTTCATGCTCTGTATGTCTGAGTCTTTCCGTATGGTGTGATACTGAATGAACGGCGATCACATGCTTTCCTTGTGGCACAGCTGTTGAGGACAAGAAGGAAAATAACGACACCATTCGCCTAATGCATCACAACTGAATCCTGCAGAAATGTAGTATTACACTTACTGGTTGGGAGGATGAAAATCTGACCGTTTGTGGAAATTTTATAGAAATTTTATTTTGCCTTTAAGGCATCTCTTGAGTAGAAGAGTTGAGGTTGTGGTACTTGGAAGCTTCCAGCTATGTCCTCGATAGAGCAGCGTAGTCTGGCTGATGGCAAAGGAGTAGTTGGCTGTGGATTTTGGGTGTGAAAAGAAATTATTTTCTGGATACTGTACATTGCTGGCTGTTCAGGAAAACAAGTAGAGCAGCGGTGACACTGGCCAGGAGATTGTTTTTTGGCCTCCAAACCAGTTGTATGGGAGCAGCAAATCTCCCCTGATGTCACTGGGCAGGTGTGGTGCACTCCTGGGAAGGGCAGGACTGCCTGCTGTGAGAACATGCGGCACAGCAGTGTGAACTCTGCAAGCCTTGCTTCCTTCCTGCAGACCATGTTGCTCAGAGATCATGAGAGTAGTTAAGTAGACCTATCTTATTTTTTAATTAGTGATGTCACAGACTTGGGTGTGTTAAGTTTTTTCTTTGAGACATGCCATTTTTCTAGTGTATCTTTTCCATCCTTGTTTAACTAAATTGGGCTCTGTGTATGAGAAGATTTCCTTGGAGAATGTCTGCACTGAGTAATCTTTGAGAAAACCACCTTTCATTTCAGACATCAGTCGCTTTAGCTTTGTTTAAAGGCATGCTGGCAGATACTGGATACTCTTACAGAAATGTTTTTTAGAAGGATTGGTCATGCTCTGACCCAAACAGAATGACTTCACTCTTTTAAATTCAGTTTAGGATGCAATTCTCGTGGGCATTTAAGCATGAATGTCATAAAAAAATGCAAGAGTATTGAAAGAAGAAGACTGAGAGCTCATACTTCTGTTCCACACCTGATAGAAACTCTCAGCTAAGTCTTCTGTAAAGAGTATAGAAATTTGGGAGCTGACTGTTGAGTCTTCTGTCAATAACATAACTTAGTGAATTAGTGAAGGAAGCTTCCTTCTCTTGGAGAAATCTGAATTCAGATCATGTTGCAGATTTGTGCCCCAGTTTCTCCAAGTGCTTAGTATTCATGTGGAATTCAGCTGTGCAAAACATAATCTTCATCAGCAGATGCTAAATACACGAGAGTATGACAATATGTTAGTGCAAGCACACAAATGCAAATGATGGTGTCCTTGTTTAATTTTTAGGCTTATGAATTTATTGCTTTTCTTTTTCTTTTTTTTTTTTTTTGCTTCATTGCTGTGTGAGTGTATCTACAGCAGTGTTAACATGACCTTATTCTTCATTCACAGGTTACTTTAGGTGGAACCTTTATTGGAATTGGGCGGAAGACTCCAGATTGCCAAGGCAACACCAAGTACTTCCGCTGCAAATTCTGCAATTTCACCTACATGGGCAACTCGTCCACTGAACTAGAGCAACACTTCCTACAGACTCACCCAAACAAAATGAAAGCAGCCCTTCCCTCCTCTGATTCTGGTAAAACTTCAGAGAAAAACTCCAATAAATCCAGTCCTACTCTTCGACCATGTGATTCTGGAGACTTGGGGAAGTGGCAAGACAGAATCACTGTAAAAGCAGGAGATGATACACCAGTTGGATATTCGGTGCCCATCAAGCCAATAGATTCCGCTAGACAAAATGGTACCGATACAACCAGTTACTACTGGTGTAAATTTTGCAGTTTCAGCTGTGAGTCGTCCAGCTCATTGAAACTATTAGAACATTACAGCAAACAGCATGGGGGAAACCAGTCAGGAAGCCATCACCCAGATATGAATGATAAGCTTTCTAGGGGATCTGTCATTAACCAGAATGATCTAGCCAAAAATGCAGATGGGGAGTTAGTGACAAAGACAGAAAAGGGTGCGAGTGTGGCAAAAAAGAAAGACTTGACTAGCAAAGGAGCAGAGGACAGCATGGTGACAAGCTACAACTGTCAGTTCTGTGACTTTAGGTACTCGAAGAGCCATGGCCCAGATGTAATAGTGGTGGGCCCACTTCTTCGTCACTATCAGCAGCTACACAACATTCATAAGTGTACCATTAAGCACTGTCAGTTCTGTCCCCGAGGCCTCTGCAGCCCAGAAAAGCACCTTGGAGAAATTACTTATCCATTTGCTTGCAGAAAAAGTAATTGTTCCCACTGTGCTCTCTTGCTTTTGCACCTGTCTCCAGGGGTGACAGGAAGCTCTAGAGTCAAACACCAGTGCCATCAGTGCTCATTCTCCACTCCTGACGTAGATGTTCTCCTGCTTCACTATGAGAATGCACATGAAGCCCAAGTGTCTGATGTCAAACCTGAAACAAATACCCTGCAAGGTGCAGATGGGCCGCTGACTCTCAAAGAGAACAAAGAACACTCATGTACCAAATGTGACTTTACCACCCAGGTGGAAGAAGAGATTTCCCGACACTACAGGTACAGTGAAGTTTAAAGTAATTACTAATAGGAATCAAGCACACAGCCACCCTAGTTCCTTATTTATATGTCACAGATCCCCAAAACGGAGGAAGCTGGAAATGAAAATAGGAATGTGCCTAGATATAAATCTTTATAGCCAGGGTCCGATCCAACATCCACTTCGTTTTGGAAAATCTTCAGCTCAGTCTGTGGCTTTAATTATACATTCAAACCTGCGCAGTGAAGAGCGAGATTTAGATTTGTGTATAGATGTTGAAGTTCTAGCATATTTGAGGTTTGGTCAACTATTTTCCACCCAGAGTCTGTTAGGTACTATTTTATTTTAGGCTTTTTACCAGAAAGCTGGCATCTTCATTCATTAGGGGAACACAAATGGCTTTACTTTCCAAGATAGACTGTGAATCCTTTCATGCTTTGTAACAGTGCTTCAATGTACTACCTTTTTGTAGTATTTTCCATTCCCAAGTCCAGCAATGCAATAATGAGTTTAAGAGCATTCCACTGCTGTTTTGGTGTTAGTTTCACACTGGGAGCAGACGCACTTTTGTCTGTTGATGTCATCCTCCAAGATCCTTTTGCAGATGCTTATTTTTGTATTGCTGCTTTACAGTGTCATTCTATCTATTTTAAATGCTAATGTTCCTATTTGGAGGTGGATGCAGCCAGTCTCCTGACTCAGTCTGACACAATGTCATGATGGCAGCCAACTCCCTACTAAACTTCTTGGGCCAGTTCCTGTGCTGTTGTAAACTGGCAGTCCAGTTTATATTGGAGGAAGAGCTGGCTCCCAGACTTTTTAAAAAGCAACAGTGCTGCTGCAAAAGTGATGTGAAATATTAGAAAATCCTGCTGAATATGTTAATAGTTAAGGATAATGCGTCAACAACAACGGAAAGGCAGTATCTGTCTCATCTAAAAGATCTTTGCATGGAAGCCAGCTAAAATGAAGACAAAAGAAGATGCTTTTTCAAAGCTAAAGCTTTGTTAAAAGCTCAAGAAACCGTGCCATGTTTAATAGATTCCAAGACATCCAAAATTAACAAAGACAGACTGGGGCATGATACTTTAATAGAGATTAAAGCTGGGGGCATCCAAATGTTGCCCAACAGAGGGCTGCATTGGCAATGCATCAGGAGTCTATTTGAAAAAAAAAAAAAAAAAAAAAAAAGCAGATTGCTCATCTTTAATTTGGTGGTAGGGCCCACGGAGGATTCAGGTCCCAGCATGCAGTGCCCCATTTTTGATCCAAGTGGGCCTCAGGGATGTTGTGCGGATTAATTAGTTAATGTTTGTAAACTGCTTTGAAGATGAAAAGTGGTATCTAAGTTCCAAACATTATTATAGCAGCTTTGAGCTGTGCTGTAGAACTCCATAGGCAGCACTTTGTCCGCCGCTGGGGCATGGCACGATCTTTTTTTAGTGGTTAAATAACTGGAAGATTGAAATGGCTCTTTGACTGAAAAACGTTTTTATTTTGCTGCAGCTGCTAATTTAAGTTTTAATGAGCACACCTAGTTAAAATCCTTTTTCCCAAGGAAAGGAGAAGCCATGACTTTGAAAACTGTAAGTCTGATACTCTTTCCATCCTGAATGCTCAGCACCACACAGATATCTCCTGCAGTTGTCAATGGGAAGTGCTATGTGATGTGCTCTTTTGAAAATCAAGAAATGGGTTTAAGCATTTGAATCTCAACTTACTGGTCTAAAAGTAGCCTATTCTGTATAAAAACCACTTGAACAGTGTAGTTCTAAGCCTTCAATATACCACATTATCGAGTACTCTGAGGATGTTGCTTAGTCAAAGCAAAGCCTAAAATCCCCACAACTGCCAGCTTCCTTCCCTTTCTGCTAAGCTGCCCTCCCATCTCCTTTTTAATTTAAGTTTGGTTTCTTTTCAGCGTGTACTGCTGCTCTTTTGTTCCGTCTGTTCATCACCAAAGTTAGTTCAGTTTTTGGTAGATACTCTGAAATGGCAAATACCTAGTGGATTTTACTGCTTTTATATGCCTCATTTTTCATAGTTTTTACTATACCAAACTGAAGCATAGAGAAACCTCTAATGCATTGTAGCTTCTATTTTTAGTATTATTTTTTCTTTTTTTTGACATATACTTGATGCACATTTCCTTTGCCTTTTTGTATTTTACGAAATTTTAATGAAAATTTTTACATGTATTTTATGAAATAAGGATTACTTCAGATTAATTCAGATTTTATACTGAAGAATTCATATAAAATGTGTAAACTTATGTAATGGGGAATTATGTGACATACACAGAACTGGTTTTCTCTGAGGCTTTGTCAGAGCTTTGCTTTTTTAATTGGGTTTCCTTTTGGCCATACTTACACAATTTCGCTGTGTTTGTTTAATATTTTTCTGTATCCTAAAATTATTCCTTTGCATGTATTTGCAACAGTTACAATTTGCAACAGTTAGAATTTGCAAAAGTGGTTCTTTCCATTTTTTTTTTCTGCCAGAATGTATGCTAACATTTAGAGCTCATTCAGTATTTTCTTGACATGATTATTTGAGAGCTGTTCAGTTAAATTTGAAGTTAATGAATCACATTGCACTTGAGTTTACTTGTATTTAAACCTCACTAAAATGTGCTTACTCAAACAAATCCCCAGAAGGTTTGTTGGCCTATATTTTCTACTGATTCTGCTACCACTCATTTTCCATTATTTCTCTGAGGTATCAGGTATTCTGTGTGTTCATTGTGAAGTTCAGGCTTTGTTTTTTTTTTTCAAAACTGTCTGCTGTTCCAATGAGCTGAAAGATGTCAGTACGTGTAGTTTAGATAAAAATCATATAGACTGTGTGGGGAAATTTTGTATGTCAGATGATTTGTCTGAATTTTTGTATGAAAATTTGTATGTTAGATTATTTTCCCATTTGCTTCAAAATAATTGTTTTCTAATTTTAAATTTTTTCTTAAAATGAAAAAGACTTCTTGCAGATTTTTTAAAGTTTGGGACTTTGATTCAAGTGTGGGAAAACAGTGCAGTTTCTCATTTTTGCAAAAAATATTTGTTTTTCCTTGAAAATCCTGAATGTCAAAAAAGTCTAACAGAAAACATTTGATCAGTGCTAATGGTAATTACAAATGCTGTGCTGAATAGTGCTCTAAACTTCTTTAAAAAAGAGAATCTGGTGACTGTTATCCAGTAAACAACAACAAAAGATAGAAAGAAGTTGACTTGAGAATGAGATAAGAGCTTGGGAGTAGACTCACATTTCTAATAAACAGAAATTCTTTTTGCAAATGAAACTGATTGCAATTCTGTAGAGTGTTATGTGAAACAATATGTCCCTCTCAGAGGTGAATGGAGACGTAGGGGTATGGGTTAGGCCACAGTGAAGAATGCATGCCCCAGTGCCAGTGATGTGTGCTGAGAACAGGGAAATATGGCTGCTGTCACCTTGGCACCAGCAGGCAGCAGAAGCTGGAGAAGGGCCTGGGATGTGCAGGCTGTAGAAATGTGGAGCTGTTAGGCTCCATGAGAAAGTACCAAGGGCAGATGTGTGAAATGAGGCCCAGCAGCTCCTGCTTTCTGGCAGAGCGGGAGTCTTCACTGGTCAAACTACAGCAGCAGCTGTGAGGACCTTTTCCATACTCCTAACACCTTAATTCACTGCTCTGAACTTGTTTGCTCTTGCCAGTAGCTTTTGCTCTCCTTTAATCTCAGCCTTGCTTTCTGTTCTTCCCATTCTCCTTCCCTTTCTGTCCCTCCACTGAGTTTCTTTTCTCGCTCTGTGCTCTTCTCCCCTGTATTTATTTTCCTGTCTCCTCTAGTATGAGGGCAGCACACATCCCCAAAACAGACTTTTTTACAAGCCCATTTCTTCACAAGAACTGCTCACCATTATTATATTCATAATGAAATTCAAAATGTGCAAAGAATTTGAAGTGATATGGCAGTCAGACCTTCATCCAGAATATTTTGTATGCCCTGGAGCATAGGAATGTCTTCGTATCTTCAGGTAATTAAAAAAAAAAAGTTGTTTTGTAGAGGATGGTGTTTTGCAATATTTCAGACTAGTTGTAAGTATGTCAACGAGACTTAATTCACAACTGGCTAGTGTCAGGAATAGCATACATAGCCTGTTAGAAATCTCATATGAATAACAAATGTATCAAAAGAGACATGCAATCTCTTGTCTTCAGTCTTCTGCAAGGGAGAGTCCTTTCATTTTGTAGCACTCAATTCAGATATAATAGAATCATATAATATCCTGAATTGCAAGAGACTCATAAGGATCATTGAATCCAACTCCTGTCTCCGCACATGACCACCCAAATATCAGACATATGACTGAGAACGTTAGTCCAGACACTTCTGTTTTTCGGTACAAGTGAATAATGACAGAATTTTGTGAAGTTATCAGAATGTAACAGAGTAGCAAAGATTTGGCTGCAATTCCTTGATGTTTAATCTTGGTATTGGGCCATAAATGCTTTAATGTCCATGAATAATCAAGTATTTGATTTATTTGGTAGTGAAAATAATAATGCTAAGTGGCATCAATGCAGGCTATGTCGTTGACATCCCAGTGCCACATTCAAGGTGGTAACCAGCTCATGGCTTGAACCTGCTCTTAGCTTGTTGGAGTGGTTTATGAGCAAGACCATGAAGAGGAGAACGCAGTTTCCATCTTCATTTACATAATTTTCATAATTTGTGAGATTCTCATCACATGCCTCTCCTCTGGCTGTTGATTGGCAGTAGACCAGTACACTATACTGTATTTGATTTCAGAGTTTCAGATGATAAAAGCAGGGTTTAGTTACAAACTTCAATTTAATATCTCAGAAAGGTCTTTATTGTGTACTTGGCAAATTTGAACTTTTACAGTTTTTTGCTTAGATTTGGGGAGTTTTGTGTGCAACTCCAGTTGTAACCTGAGCCTTTAGAAACATTGACTTGATTTCAATTCTGGTAAAAGAAGAAATAAAAGATTGCCAACTTGTTTCCATGATTGCTGCTGATTGGGTGAGGTAAAAAAAATCAGAGATGAAAACATTTTTCTTTTCATGCATTTTTCTGATAAAGGATAAGAGTTTCTGGTTCTAAAAATGTTTTGGTTACTATTTTAATTTAGATTGTGACTTAGATTGGACATTTCCAAACTTTAACTTGCTTTATGGAGATTTTGAGGAAAACAGTATACAGGATATGCAAAATACGATCTATAATGGCAGTGGTAGAGAGTACCTTTTAATACATGCTACAGACATATGTGTCCTGCAATAAAAAGCCTGTTGGTTTACTACCTATGTAAATCAGTCCAAGTCGTCTGGAATTTCTGTCAGAGTTTCATAGAAAAACTACAAAATGTTTTATGATTCTCCTTGAATAGATTATAATGTCTGTAAATTAACAAACCTAATTTAAGAAAAGTGATTACAGCAGGGTCTGAGCCATCCAATTCCAACTGTATCTAATACTCTGCATTTAGTTGTGGCCTTGTAAGAATGATGCTGCTCTTGGTGTTTACTGCTCCTGATCAAAACCATTTAGCAATCGTGGGGGGAGAATGAAAAAAATGGCAAGTTAGGCAGAAAAAAATAAGCTATTTGGAGGTCTGATGTCTGTAGATGAGAGCTAAGCTAGGAGAGGGGCTAGGCATTGAAATAGCCAAGTTAAACAAGAGACACTTAGAGCTAAGTAGCCTCCTGGAAGACTGATAAACTTTCACATGGAGAACATATGGGGTTGAGCCATTAGCCCCAAATGGTGTCTTGTTTAACTTGTCTTTTCAGATAACTAGCCCTTGTCTAATTTGGACTTCTTTGATGGTATCCCACCTTTACAGGGCCGACCCTCCTTAAAACTTGGCTTTTTGTATTTGTAAAATGGTTTTGATCACATAGCACTCGTCTTTTTTGGTTGAGAAGAGAAATTAGGCTTGGTTTAGAGAAGAATTAAGTTGCAAGAGAGAATATATTAGTGTCGCACTGAGAGACAAGCCAATTTTAATAAAACACTAGAATGAAAAAAGAGGAACACAGCCAGAGCAGGATTTGAACCCACAGCTTTCTTTCCCACAAGTAGATTTTGTTGCCATAAGGGTGTATGGAGAATAGCTGACTATTTTTCACATAAGCAAGTGAGCCCATCTAGTCCCTTAAAATGAATATAAATATGGAAAATGACAAAAAGAAAACTGATATTGGACAAGTGCTAAAAAAGCTTTAATTTGAATGTGTGCTCATGTCTGCATGCTGGCACAACTGAAAGAAAATCGGACAGTGTAAATAACATATGGTTTGGTTTTTTTGACAAGAGGAAAGAAGGAAGACAGGGGCTTCACTGTAAGTTTGGCAAGTTGTCTCTTCTGAACTATCATATTTAAAAAGGAACATTTTGTGTATCGTTCTAGTTCCACAGATACACTGAGAGCTAAATCCTGCTTTTACTGAAGTTAATGAGAATTTTGCCATTGACTTCACTGAGACCAGAATTTGGCCTCAAAAGAGTGAATTCTAGCAATTGGAGTTATCAGGGCAGTAACACATTTCTTACACAAGTTTTGTTCTGTGTGGGTAGTGAAAGGCTCGGTTTTTAGCTTGGGGAAAGACATTATTGTGGCTTTTGAGTGCACGGGGTGTGGATGTGTGAATGAGTCTGCAGAGAGAATCCATTTGCAGATCGTTTACATTTTGAGGAAGGGCAGGGATGGTATTGGACCCAGGATAGGTACGAGCCTGGTGCAGCGGGGCCTGATGCAGACAAAGAGCTTGGGCCACTTCTGTGCCATAAGCTATTATACAGAATGTTACATATCTCATAAAAAGTGCACTGTTCATCTGATAGATAGGGTAAAGTAGTAACATGCTGTTCTAATGTAGCAACATATGCTTTACATAATTTAGTAATACTGTACTTTATATAGGTTTCTAGAATGAAAACAGGAAGGCATGTTATTCCACACTGCTCCACAGGTCTTACCCAAGCATTTCTGTATTTGACAGGAAAACACAGTTTGTATTGAGACAGCCAACTATTCTGCTTTTACTTTAAAGCTGTATCTTTTAAAGTTGCCTTGAAATATCCACAGAGGACAAATAAATGTTATCTGTTGGGTGCAACCTTTCAGCCTTTGGTGCATTCCTATCTTAAGTTAACTGGAGTTCCACTCAAAATGGTCGTTGTTAACCAAAAGTATCTGAAACAGTTGGAAAGAAAAGGAATTCTTTAAGCATTTGAAGTTCCTAGCATATATTGATATTAATCCTGAGTATTTTTTTTTTAAATTCCAAAGAAAATTATCCTGTTATAACTAATTGATTTTGGTTGGGAAAAAAAAAATTACTCATTATTTCTACCACAGTGAAAAGTGCTGAGTACGTTCTGGCAAACAAAGAAAGGGAAAAAAAAAAAGCCCAAATCCTAGTGAAAATTATGTGAAGTTTAGAATAATGCAGTGAAGAATGAGTGAACAACAGGAAGCCGTTGCAGTGTGTGAGAGGTAGCAGCAAGATTTTTCCCCACTGTATCAGACTACAAAGCAAACCCGCTTATTTTATTAGAGAGACTCATTCTGTTTATTTATTTTCTTCGTCTTGGTAGGTAAAACCAGCAAGAAGGAAGGGTGAGAGGGGACACACTTTAATGCCCATCTCGTTTTCTTCCAGGAGAGTACACAACTGCTACAAGTGCCGTCAGTGCAGCTTCACGGCTGTGGACACACAGTCGCTACTCGAGCACTTCAACACTGTGCACTGTCAGGAGACAGATGTCACTACAGCCAATGGGGAGGACAGTCACGGTGTTTCGGCTATCAAGGAAGAGCCAAAAATTGATCTCAAGGTCTACAGTCTGATTAATCCAGACCCCAAGATTGGGGAGCCCATGTCTGACAGCATAGTCAAGAGGGAAAAGATAGAAGATAAGGAAGTGCTTAAGGAGAAAGGTTGGACTGACAGTCCCGGTGATGATCTTCGCAACGTGCCCTGGAGAGGAACAGACATTTTGAGAGGGAGCCCATCATACACACAGACCAGTTTGGGCTTATTGACCCCAGTGTCCGTTGGCCAAGAGCAGCCAAAGCCTTTAAGGGATAGTCCAAATGTAGAAGCTGCCCATCTGGCACGGCCCATGTATGGCTTGGCTGTGGAGAGCAAGGGCTTCCTGCAGGGAGTGCCGGCCGGAGCAGCGGAGAAAGCCGGGCAGCTCACCCAGCCCTACCCTGGATCCGGGGATGGCAAGGCCAAGGATGAATCCCAGTCCCTACTGCGGGTAGGAAGCTCTCTTTGTTACTTTCTTTCTTTTTTTTTTTTTTTTTTTTTTTTTTTTGTGATTGCAAGTGTGCTCTGTTTAATTAGGCATGCAGAAGGTTTCTTCGGATTCAGAGTGAATGCATGGGAAAATAAAAGTAAATATCAAGGGAAAACTGAAAGATTCAAACTTGTAGACTTAAGCTGACAGGTGAACATTCTGATTTATTGGCAGCAAACAATATATATATTGGTGTAGTATTAGTAACCAAGTGCTTCTACTTTTGCTATTTAGCTCTGATTGAGTTCTGTTTAATCATTCCTGCTAATTGTGCAGGTTGATGATGCATTTGAAGAACGAGGGTTTAGAACCCCAGAAGGCCTCATGTAAACTGTTAATCACCGCTTAGATTTTGAGGTGATGTGACAGTTCACACTTAAGCAAGATTTTACATTATTAAATATGTAAGAACATGAAAACTGACTTAAATATTAATAAAAAGTAACCTCTTTTTTTTTTTCGGTAAAACAGCGTAATTATATATCAATTTTGACACTTGTATGGTTACCTTGGAAGCAAAAAGAGGAAAAAAAAAAGAAAAGGGAAGGAGCTTGGGTGATAACGGGGAGAATATTCATCACACCGAATAATTTGGTGTATTCTGTCATATTAAAAAAAAAAAGCTGTGATTGCAGAACTTACCAACTTCCCCTTTTATCAAGGTGTATGTTTTCCACTATTGGTAAATTTGAGGTTAGAAGAGCTCTGAAACTGAGGAGCTGGAAGGCAAATAAGGGCCTTTCTCCTGGAGTCACCACTGTATGTTTTCTTGGGGGGCTTCCTGTCTGAAGTTTTAGGAACTGGCAGACAAATCTCACTGGAATGGAAGGGGTGGTCAGCTCTTCTTCTGTATTATCTTTTCTGAGAACATTTATAACCATATTTCATGTAAAGAGAGCAGCATGTCAGAAGAAGATAAAAAGCAAGATAAACGTTCTATTTCTTGTGTGCTGAAGTTGTACGTGTCTGTTTCTGTATACACATGTCATAAAAGCACTTTGAAAATGAAGTCAGTAATCTTAAAATATTACAGTTACTCTAATTATAAAATGATATGTCTGTCACTTAGAAGTCCGCGTGCAGTTTAAGATGACCAGAGTCCTTTGTGCCTTGCAGAACATGAATAGCTACGGGTATCAGATGTTAAGTGTATGAGAAGCAGTCACAGAATGACAAGTTCCCTGTTGCTTGGTTGTGTGTTCATTGTGAATAGCAGGTCTATATTTTTCTCCATGTAAAAATATGCCTAAAAATATATAAATATATCTGGCTCGCAGTGGAATTTGTGCCGTACGTATGTCACTAGTTACATCTGAGTTCAATTCTTGCTGTGGTTCTTAGCAGTGCAGAGAAGTATTGTCCAGAGGAGCCATTTGTATTTTGCATAATCAGAATACAGATAATTTATTTTTTGACTACCTAGTAGTAAATGATGATTATGATAGTAATTATAGTCTGCAAAAGTAGTATATGTAAAAATCTCTATAAAGATCAAAATTTGCTTGATGACAAGCTTAAAATCTTATGCAGTAAATAAGACCATTATATTATAATGTTTAAGTAAAAGTAAATTAAACAGGGGAAACTGCACACTGGCTGCTTCTTATGCACTTCTTTAAAATAAGTTCAGTTTCTTTAGAAAAACAGTGATTGAGTTGTCTTCAAATCAGTATTTTTATCACTTCTGGATTTTTAGAAATATAAAGTTTGGAGTTCAGAAATAGGAATTTGCATAGTTTTCAGGAGAAAAAAAGTAGGTTTTTCTTTTCTTATGTGTGGGTAACTGGGTATATAAATTAATTCCTCGCACTTTTAAATTTTGTTAACAAAGCAACTTTTATATGGTTAGTAAAAGGATTTATTACTGGGTTAGGTCTACGCTGACGAATAAAACCATGCCGACACCTTTCAAAAAAGAATTGCTTTTGTATACAATTTTGACAGCTTTGGTCTTTGAAGTCCATTGTTCCAAGGCTGTGGTTGTCTGGGTCTTTCCTTACTTAGAATATTTTCATTTTTGCTTTTCTTTGAAAATGGGATGAGTTGCCTTTGTCAATTGCAATTTTTAAGAAACAAGACAGGAAGTTAATTTTCTACATCAGCTGAACAAAATCCCTAGATCATTATGTTTCACCACTATTACTGAATATTGGAAAATAGTGGTAATTCAAACTTGTTGAAGATAAAAGATGATCTGGAGGACAGAAGAGAGAGGAAGGTGAGGGAGTGTGAATCTATGAGTGGCATTCATTTTTCCACTGAGATCAGCATCCACTGTTCCCCTGAATCCATGAAAAATACAGAAATCTAGCTGGTGGTTTTTATTCTTCTATTCTTGTAGACAGAGTTATGAGATGTAGAGCTTGGACTGAGTAGAGTTAGGAACTGTTCAGAAAAAAAGCCTTCCCATTTGGAAAAATAATAAAAAAAAATCCCTACTGTTAGTCAACTCTCACATGATTATGCACTTTTGGGGAAATGTGTTTTTCTACTGTGAAATAGTGGGTAGGAATAGTGACTATTAGGCTAAAATCTGTGCCTTTCTATAAATAAGGGGTTAAGTCAATACATACTTGTGGTATCGTATAATGAATTCTCATGCAAAATACTGTATCCCAGGACAACTGGTGACTAGGAAACAAAACCTGTAATAAAATCACAGTAGACACCTTCATTTTGTGCTTTTGAAAGATCGACACAGAGAAAGCCAAAAATTTGGGATTACTCAGTGAATAAACACTGTGAGAAATGGACTGAAAAAAATTAGCACATCCCTTTGGTTGTGCTGGCTATTCAGTATTTATAGAGTGGTTCTGTTTATTAAGAATGATTTGTAATGATTCAACAGTAGCAGTAATACCATGTGCTTTTCATTTTTCAATTCTCTCATGATGACTGGAGGAAGGGAAAGAGGAGATAATGTTTTTCACATTTTTTTCATACAGATAGAGGTTAATATTGCAAGGCAGGTTTTTACATACTGAGTTTATGACTACGTTTATTTGCAATTTAATAAAATATCAAAGGCAAAACAGATCAACTGGGGAAAGGGTGTATATCTGCAATTGCCCACACAATTCTTTAATGATAATTTAAACTTTTGGAATTTACTTGAAGCGTCTTTCAGGCTTGTGTGTTCAGTAATCTGTTTATGTGCTGCTTTCTTGCATTCCTTCAATGCATGATGATTGTGTTCCCTCCCCAGGCTCTGTGCTACAGTAGATTATTCATGGGAGTAATTAGAGTAGGATTTATTTTCTTTTTAATGGCTAAAAGACTGAATCACTTGTAATCTTTGAGGAGCAGGACATAGTGCAGTGGTGATAGCTTGAGCTCTACATGTGTGCAAGCACACATGTACAGGGGATGCACCTTTCTCCCCAAGAGAGCTTCCAAGCTGTGTGTGTGTGTAACTGAATCTTTCTCAGGGGCTTGGTACACTTCTGCGAGTAGCTTTAATTTATTTTTCTTATTAAAATGTTTCCAGCAGCTGTACTTACGGTGAATCTGTATGTTTTGCAAACGGGAATTAAAAAAATGTACCTCAGCGTGGTACAATGCAGACATTATTTCAGCTCTTCCTTAGAGTAGCTGATTTTCTAGTTTAAAGATTTGTTGATACTGGAAGGTCTATTGAGATGCAAAAATGTTCCTTTTTTGGGTAGCACATTGCCAGCCAGCAGACTCTGGGCCAGGCAGATTGTTTAATGCTTTGACAACGCTGATCTTGGGCAGCAGGAACTTTTTGCTAAACTGATTTTAAATGAAGTGTCCTGTTTTGTTACATGTGGACGCTGCAGCACAAAGTTTTTCACTAAACTAGGAATCGCAGCCTGCTCCTTCGATCTATATACAGACCTAGTTAGCCCCCCCAAAGGCGCTGGTAAACACTGCTGCCTCACATCACAGTGCAGCCCGTGCAGATGCAGAATAGCATGATGGGTGTGCCCTGCGGGGCTGCAAATGCCTGAAAGCACAGGGAGATAGCTGCCAGTGTATTAATTAAAATTCATGCAACGAGTGAATTTGTGTGCCATCAGAGGGAGAGAGTGCGTCAGATTATTGCAGAGGTACTGGTGGTGGTTGTCAGAGGGAGATGGCAGGCTTTGGCAATATATATCCAGCTGAAGTTATGGTAACATTTGCTATGAGCTTTTATTACAAGGGCAAAGGATAAAAACAGCTATGCTATTAAATCAAGATTATGTTGCACCATGATGTGTAGACTCTTCATAGGAAAGCACAGCTTTTCAAGGAAGTTTCCATTTACTTGCAGAAGAGTTATTTTTCTTTTTGTCTCTAATATTTACAGTCCTGGTATTTCTTACAGTGTTCTGTCTGGAGCTGTTATATGGCTTTAAATTTGGAGAGAGAGACAATCAGAAGAACTTACTCTCCCACTTTGCATTCTTTTATGTGACTGTTTGTGGCTAATTCTAAATGAGCAACACATATGCAAGTATCAGTAAATTTATATGTGATTTGTTCATTTGATATCACTTAGTAAATACTGGATGCAGTGCCTAGTAGTGAAACATTATTTCTCCTGTTATAAAACACCGACTCCTGCTACCCACAGTTAGATGCCAGATTCCTGCAAAGTGGTAGAAAGGCTGAACTGCCTTTTGTGATTTCCAAAATCTAGGTCCCTCCTAAAGGAATGTCTCCTAAGTATTTCCATGGAAACCACAACAGATACAAAGAGCAGAATAACACTATTTGGTAGAACAAATTCTCAGCTACAGAATACTATTTTTCAGCATAGTCAGCATCATCAGTCAATTTGTGTGGATGAGACGGTCGAGATGCTCTTCATTTTGTGGTGCAACAGCTGTGCATGGCTGTCTGGAACATGATTTGTTTTTCACGTTGCTGTTGCCACTGCTGAAATGCACCAATTACCGCCTCGCTGTGCTCACATCCACTGTTTGGTGTCCATAAACATTCATGTCAGTGGTTGC